CACTGCTCAGAGCAGAATTCTGTGCTCGCACATTAAACGAAGACATGTTCTAGTTAAAGGAGAAATTCCCTCCTGACTGAAAGCTGGCTCTTGCATTGCCTGTCTAGAAAACTAATTACCTTGCCACAAAGTCTGTTCTTTTTATGCTTAGTGCACCACGCACAACACGGGGCGATTCTGCATCTAGCATTCGCTCAGCATTTCCTCAGCTGGGAGGAAAAAGTGCAGCTCAAAACCACATTCAAAGGCCCAATCTGCATCTAGCATTTGCTCCGCTGTTTTACCAAACCCATGTTGGAACAAAAATTCCCATCTACACTGCATGCCACTTTAACTTTGATTGATTGTCGGATTTTATGGCAGCGTCCAGACTGCATGCCCCTTTCACTTTGTTTGATCTCTAGGTTTTAGGGTACTGTCTGCAGGGCTATTTTTGGGCAGGAACGCACAGGAACGGAGTTCCGGCTGGCTCCCAAGTTGGCCATGCCCAGCAAGAACTCATTAGCATAATAGGCCACACCCAACAGCAGAAATCCATTAGGATTGGCTTCATTAGGGAAGTGGCCTAACATGCAAAGGAGTTCCTGCTACAAAAAAAGGCCCTGGGTTTTGACAACAAACAAGGTAAACAGAATAACAAGCAAAAGGTGGGTGTGGCTGGATGACCACACTTCTGGTAACATGGGGGTGCGGCCTAATGTGCTAATGAGCTGTGCTGGCATGGGCATGGCCTAATATGCTAATGAATTTCTGGTGTTGGGTGTGGCCTATTATGCTAATGAGTTCCTGCTAGGCTTTTTCTACAAAAAGAGCCCTGAATTGTCTGCATATATTTATGGCCGTTCTATGGCTGTTCAGGGGTGACTCTGCAGTCAGTATGGCGTTGGCCCAGGGAATTTGAATGCGGTTTTGAGCTGCATCTTTTTCTGTTCCAGTGAGGGTTTGGTAAAACAATGGAGTGAACACTAGATGCAGAATGGGCCAAATACCTTGGGGCAAAGTAACCCCTGAATGGCCATAAAACGGCCATAAATCTATGCAGAAGGTACAATAAAACCTGATGATCAAAGAAAATGATAGCAGCATGGAGTGTGGAGGCTACCATAAAAATCTGATAATCAACGGAAGTGAAAGCAGCATGCAACACAAAGGGGAATTTCTGTTCCAACGTGGGTTTCGTAAAACAACGGAGGGAAAAGCCAATGCAAAATCAGCCACAGTCTCCTGAAACAAGGCCCCCTTCTCACCTTCCTAATATTTCTGAGGCCTTCTTAGCGGATTCCACCTTGAAAACAGCCATTCATTTGGCTGCATATGGTCAGATTCACACCACTGGGGATCTCTTGCAAACTGGATGGGAGTCTCTGCCCCTCCCTGCCCCCTTTGGGCCCATCCAGGACCCTCAAGATATCTGACATTTTATTTATTTATTTATTTATTTATTTATTTTTGAGATTTTTATCCCGTCCTACCCGGTGGCTCAGGGCGGCTAACAACGAGTTTCAAAATTTAGAACAATAAAAACAATAATACATATATAGTAAAATCTGGTGCTACAAAATCTACATATATTATACAAAATACACAGCAAAATACACAGGAAACTCCCAACAATACTTTCTGAACATGACCTAATAGCAAAGACTATGGAAAGTGTGGAAATGGACAAACTGACCTTGATGTTAAAAGGGCAAATGGAAGAAGATTTTGTCGGATTATGGACTCCATTTTATAATTGGGTAAGAAAGAAATATAAAGATATGAACTCCTTAATATTATAATATGAAGAAGCCCTTATAAACTTTTAAAATCTCACAGTCTATCTCTGTATAATGTGAAATGATAAGCAGAGAAGAGTTATATGCAGGAGACCTATTATTTCTGTTCCTTTCCCCTTCCCCTTTCCCATCTCTGTATACCCAAAAAGCTTAACAAAATGTACTTAAAAAAAAAAGTCTGACAGTGGTATGTGAGGGCAGGCGGGCAGACTGGCTGGGGGGGAGGATCTGTTTTCCTCTCAGCACCACAATGGAGCTGAACTCCCTTGGAGCTGAACCGGAGCTCTTGATACCCTGGTTCAGACAGAACATCGCATCCTGATGTGGGCATGCAATGCCTGCAAGAATTGCACCAGGAGCCTCATTTTTTTTTAACCATATCAATCTGCACAGCATGATCTCACAGTTAAGATAAGCTTAAGCCTGAGAAAAAGCTAACATCTCCTCTCGGTGCTAGGGCCTTGAGTACTGTGATATTAAACTCTGTCCTAGATTCTGGTGAAGGACCGCAGTGAAAAAAATCATGGAACAGCCTGCAGGCCAATCTGCGATGCAATGAAAATAAGCAAGGGCGACTATAAACCGGTGCTGTCAGGAGGCTCTTGCTTGGCTCCTTTACCCTGCGTAACTCTCAGCCAACTGGTGCGCGAAAGAACCTTGGCGTCCTTCTCTGAGGACAAACACATTTCAGCCTTATTGCCTCTGACTGGACGATCTGTTTGGGCTCTTCAGATTAGTAGGTGGGCCCCAGCTTAGAACGGAGCACTACCTTTTAGCTATAAGACTGGAGAGCACTAAGATCCTATCGAGTTTATAGTATGACACAGCTGAAGAACTGCTGCTTGCAGGAGAGATAAACGAAGTGCTTCGCTACTCAGTGATATTTCTCATTCATATACTGCTTGTCTGGACACGCTTCATTGATCGGCAAGCCCTGACAACAATCCTGTAAGGGAGGCCTGTGACATCATCCCCACATCGCGGGTGGGTGGAGGCTCCAGGTCTGAGACACCAATTTACCTAGGGCTGCTTAATGAGCTTGTGGCAAAGGGGAATTTGAACCAGAGGTTCGTATGTTTTGCCACTACACCACACCAGATTTCAAAGCTGAATGGCTGCTGTGAAGAACAACTCTTGAATCTAAACCATCAGCACTGAAGCCAAGGTGAGGTGGGTGGGCTTCAGAAGTGGGGGAGATCTGCCGGAGATCTGCGCCTATAACTGGGAGAGCAAAAGAATCAGAAATGTGATTTTGCTTGAATTTCGTCTTTCGGTGCTGCCTCCAGTGGCCATAGGCTAACCTCCTCTGACAGAAGTTCTTGACGGATGTCAGCAACAGAGGAAGGCCATCTGAGGACATGCGGGAGCCCCTCCCCTCAAGCACTTCAGGCAGCTCTGCTTCAAAAGGTGCTCTGCGATAGCTTTTCTGAGACGGGACTCTGCAGGTTTGTGATGATCCCGTGCTGCGACTGAATTTTAATTAGTTTGATCCGTATGCCGCACTTAATTTTGTTGTCGCTGCTGCTATTTTTTTTAACAAAGGTAGGGTGTAATTTTTCTAAGCAAGATAAAGTAGGCGCTTTCGAGTTTGTTTTTTATTGTGCTGCCCTTCCAGGAGTGCAGCCAGGACCTGGCATCTGGCAGGGACTTCACAAGGCCTAGCTAGCAGAAGCCACCAGCAGCTGGGAAAGGGGGTGAGATTGGAAGGAAAACGTCTGAGACGGCACTTCCTTCCAATAAATCTCTACCAACTGGCAGTCCCAGTTTCTGCCAGGTCCCAACAGACTGGGATTGCCAACCTGGAGAATTCCTGGAATCACAACTGATCACATTACAGAGATCCGTTCCCCAGGAGAAAATGGCTGCTTTGCAGGATGGACGCTTACAGCATCGGCATAGTTTGCTGGGGGTCTCTCCCCAAACCCTGACCTCTCAGGCTCCACCCCCAAATCTCCAGCAATTTCCCATCCTGCCATTAGCAGTGCTACAACATACACTGTAGTATCCGGTGGTGCTTCTTGCATTGTATAGGGGGGAGGGGGAGAGAAAAGGACTGCGCTTCTCAGCAAACAGCTTTAACTAAAAATGTTAAGTGATCTTAATCATAAGTCATCTGGGGAGCCTATCAGCTGAAAAGTGGGGGAAAGGTAAAAGGTAAAGGTTCCCTTGCTCGAAAGCCAGTCGAGTCCGACTCTAGGGTTGCGGTGCTCATCTCCGTTTCAAAGCCGAAGAGCCAGCGCTGTCCGAAGACGTTTCCGTGGTCATGTGGCCGGCATGACTAAACACCAAGGGGCACGGAACGCTGTTACCTTCCCACCGAAGTGGTACCTATTTATCTACTTGCAATTTCTTGCTTTCGAACTGCTAGGTTGGCAGGAGCTGGAACTAGAGACGGGAGCTCACTCCGTCATGCGGCACACTCGGGTCTTGAACTGCTGAACTACCGACCTTCCACAGCCTGCAGTTCAGCGTCTTAACCACTTGAGCCACCGCAGCTCCTGAAAAGTATGTATTATGATCCCTGGAGACAAAGAACTGAGAAAAAAATCCCCTAAAAAAATAGTTCCACAGAACCCAGCAGGCAGAAAAAGGTTTACCTGCTCCAACATTTCAAAACTTCCAGGAAAATCAAACTGGAAAAAAAGGGGGGGGTTGTTTAAGGGGAGAAAGAGAAAGCTTCCAGAGGCCCATTCCTTTGTTATTTCTTTAGTCAGCACTTCAAACCTTAGGTGAAGGGTAAGTCTGCTCTCCTTCCTTCCACCGTGTCCTTGTGCTTTCTCTCCTCCATAGGGCTGCCAAGTGGGGGTGGCGGCTTTGTAGGCCCGATTTCCGTCGCTGTGGAATCGGGCCCCGGGGGGGAACTCAGCCCTTTGAAGCGCAGCGTGGCTGCGTCACTGAAGGGGACGCAACCACGTTGATCACGTTGGGGGCGTGGCCCGGATCGTCGGAGGGAAAACTGTATGGTTTTCCCTCCGACGATCCGGGCCACGCCCCCAACGTGATCGACGTCGCGCATCACTTCTGGTGACGTGCTGGCGGCGCGCACGCGCGTGCATCTGGGGACAGTTCCCGGAGCCCGGCAAGGCTCCCCGACGGTGAGTTTTTTTGACTTGGCAACCCTACTCCTCCATACCATTTTGAATCCCCCTTTCTCACCTCTGGGGTAATATAGAGAACAGAAAAAAACAGCAATAGGAGACTTGCTAGATCTCAAATACTTACGCTTGTCCTGCAATGAATCATGGGGAACTTCTCCTTGGGGACTCTCTTCTAAGTCTCCATAATGAAAAACTTTGTGGTTGGGTGAGAGTCGGCAATACCAAAACTTGTCTGAGAAAACAAACAGAAATTTGTAAAACAAAAACAAAAAACATTAACATCTCTCCACTCTAAAAATACACAACCCAGCAAGAAATAAAACCACCGCCACAATGTGAGAAAGAAGCAGGATTTCACGATCTGCTCCTGTGAAAAGCTGCCTCCCTGATTTTGCATTCTAGCCCTTTCTGAAGATGACACGTGAATTTACATCTCTTACCACCTCCATCTTCTCTCGCTATAATTCTTCTTAAAAGTGTTTGTCAAAAGTTGCTGCTGGTAATAATATTTTTGGCAGGCTCAGCCTGCCACAGTCAATGGTATACAAGGTCAGGGCCAGCCAGTTCCCTTTTTGAGATGGAGAGAGCCAAAACCAATCCTCTTCCTCACAGCACCTCTATTTAATGAAAAGGCCCAACCTTTAATGAGGTTCTGTCAAAAATGCAATTTTGTTACACCAGAACCATAGCTCTCTCTTTCGCCCATCTGAAAGGAACATCAACTAACACTGCAGTGGCTTCTTTATCTGTGAGAAACCCACTCCCCACAGTTACTGTCAGTGGGGAAATGACTGGATGCTTTTTGCCCGCTTCCCCTGGTTGGACAGCCGCAGTGAAACAAATACAGTCCCTAGTACCATTGCCATTTATCTGCTAAGAATTTACACCATTACATTTACCTCAGAAAATGCTTGAATTATTTCTGCGCTTCCTTCGGCTTGAGGTAACCACCAGCTTCAGACTTGTGGAAATTTCTTATGAATTGTAAAGCCCTCGGCAAGTAGATATTCGATAGTAGTGGTTACCGCAAGCAGAACGAAATGGTTGCCCTCAAGAGAGGAGCTGTGCCCCAGATAGAAGCATTTTAGGAAGATGGAGTAGCCGTTCTCCAATTCGGGGTCAGCTGAAAATGCTAAGATGATCTCAGAAGATCATTTAATTGAAGTCAGGCAGAGAGCTTATCATCAATCTCCATACACAGAAGAGCACTCTAAAGCAGAACTGATGTTTAATAGGAAGCTTAATAGTTGCTCTAAATCCTTCAGAAAAACCACACACGATGTGAATGGAAATGGCTGCTCCTTTCCCATCATGTTTTATCAATCTGGTAGCAGACTTAATCGTCCTATGCCCATGAGGGAGACAGAGATACAGCCCTTCAGGGGTTGGGGTTTCTATATTTTTTAATGCCTACATTTTAAAGCAAATTTATAAGCTTGCATTTGTTGACATACTAGGGGAGTCCTTTGTCACTGGGTGTGCATAAAAACTTTATGAATTTTTAATCAAAGAGATCCCTGCACCCACGACCCACTGAGCATGCTCACTGGCTTCTGGGAGTTACAAAATGTTGAGGGCATGGGAGTGCCAGTTAACGCAGGGTGGAGCAGGAAAGGTAAATGAAGGGTGGTGAAAACGGAGACACTATATTTACCCTTTGGAGGGCTCCTATCATCTTATACGACCCTAAAGGATGAGATCAAAAGGGGGAGACGTGGCATGCGTTTCCAAACCACACCAAGATAGCATAGGGCTTGTAAGGGCTCTGACAACTACGAAGCAAAAAGAATCATGGCAAGGGGGTTAGTTAGAACTGGAGGCAGGCCAGGCCAAAGGCTTTTGGGGGAAATTCCAGAAGCAAGTTAGTGCCAAGCTTCCCCTCCAGCTTTCTGGGTTCAGGTCTGTTGGGGATGATGAGTCTTGTGCCCCCCCACCCCCCGCCTGCAGCACTAGTGCACGTGCCAGCAGGAGGGCAAATGTGGGTGGAGCCTGGAGCACCCCTGGAAGGGGGTGGGGGGGCCCATGCCTGCTGGGTGACACTTTCAAATTCTGACTTTCTTCCACCATGGCATTCCAGGCAGCCTGCGGGGTCTCCTGTGGGAGTGTGGGTCTTCCTTTGCCCTGTTCAACACTCCCAGAGGAGATGGTGGGGTGTGTGTGTGTGTGTGCAGGGCCCAAAGTTACTTGTCCTGCTCTGCTGCCACAGGCAGGCATGCCACCACAGGAGAGTTTCCATGGCTGAGTGAAGCCCAGACCCCAGTGGGAGCCGTGTGGGACCACAGCAGGAGGAGCCACCCTCACTGGGCGTGGGCGGGGTGGGGGCTGAAGCAAGCAGTAGCTACTCTCACCGCTCCTGCCTACCTAAGACTGGCAGAGCTGGCTCTCACAGTCTGCTACTGAGAGTAGCCGCGCACGCATACTGATGCCCTAGCTTCCCATCCCTCCTCTTGATGGTAGCCATCTTGTGTAGAGCTACAGACTCTGCCCTCCAATCACCGTGCATACATGAACCCACTGACCCGGCTGCCGCCTTCCTTCTGGGGGAGGGCACCTACCCTCAAATCACCACGTGGGCACAAATTCCATGACACGGCTGCCATTTTCCTCCAGTGGGAGCTCAATTTCTCAGGGGGGGGGGGAAAGGCAGCCCGGATTTTGGGAGAACTCCTACCCCAGTGGGCAGAAGGGAGACCTGGCAAGAGACGACTCCTTCTCATGTGACGGCCAGGGGCTGCTGCTTGGCTTGGCTAGCAAAGCGGGCAAGGAGGGCTGGGAGAGGGAGAGGGCAGGGATCTGCAGCTCTCCAGGTCTGGGAGACACGCCGCGGCTGCTGCTTCTCCTCCAGCCACCTCCTTCTCCTCCTGCGGGGCCTGAGGGGAGGCGGCACGGGAACAGGCGCTGCTGCCTCTGCTACAGCTCCTGCTTGCCCTGGTGCTCCTTTTGTTCCATGACTACTTCCCCCTGCCAAATGCAGCAGCCACCCTGCCCCACTCCACTCTCCCAGCTCGGCTCCTGGTGCTGGAGCAGCAGTGGTAGAGACAGCTTATGGGCGAGCAGGGCTAGAATGAGTCAGGGAAAGAAGAAGGGCAGGTGGGAATCAGCTTCCCTTAGGCCTCTAGGAGAAAGGTACACAGGAAAGAGAAAGTTCCTTATCAGTCTGGTGTAGGGGTTAAGTGTGCAGACCCTAATCTGGGAGAACTGGGTTTGAGGGGAGCGGTGGCACAGAGGATTTAACATTTGAACTGAACAGAGCTGCTGTCAGTTCTAGCCCGCGCTGGTGTGAGCTACCAGCCTTGTCCCCAGCTCGCCGTCCGCCCAGCGGTTCGAAAGCTTCGGCGAGTAGATAAAATGGGTACTTGGAGAGGGTGGGCACACTAAACCCCCGTGGGGGAGGTGTTAGCCGGCGAACGGAAGGTCCAGCTCGGAAGCTCGGAAGCCTGGAAAAAAGACCTCTTTGGCATTAAGAAGCCTGTGATGGGCCAATCCAGCCAGGTGGTGGCAGTGCGGCACTACGACTCAAAGCAGTCTTGGGAGAACTGACTACATCCAGCCAAGCCAAAAGTGAATGCCGTCCGGAACACGCCTGAAGCTTACAGCTGAACAAAATCCCCGTCGGCTGCAAAAGTGTGCGATTTAAAGAATTATATGTTGTCCGCCCTTACCCTATGAATCATTGTTAGTCCCGTGTGAAAACTTGAGTAACTGTAAATCACTCAGAGCCAGCAGCTCTGCAGGATGAGCGATCAATAAATCGAAAGGTATTATTATTATTATTATTCCCCACTCCTCCACTTGCAGCTGCTGGATGACCTTGGGCAAGCCATAGTTCTGTCAGAGCTGTTCTTGAAAAAACAGTTTCTGTCAAGAGCTCTCTCAGCCCTGCCTACCTCACAGGGTGTCTGTTGTGGGGAGCGAAGGGAAAAGGAGTTTGTAAGCCACTCTGAGACTCCGAGTGAAGGGCGGGGTATAAATCCAATCTCTTCTCTTCTTCTTCATTTGGCACTCCCTCAAGATCTGGTACCCTAGGTGATTCCCTAGGCTTCCATAGCGGTTCGACCAGCTCTGACAGGACAAAAAATGCTACCCTCAATCCTAATTAATTGCATACCCGCCCCCCTGGGCTGTTTAATCTGCAATGGCAATAGAGGCCCTAACAGTTTACTGACTCCATGGACAAGAAGAGAAATTAGAATTGGGAGATGCGTGGCATGGAGTATGCATTTTCTAAACTCAATTTGCCCCCCAACTGCACCACAAAGCACAGGGACAGAGAGGCAAAACCCACCTTCATTGCCTAACTTAAATTCAGGGCCAGCCAGTCAACTCCTGCACCATGAGTAGTGTGGTGGTGGAAGCTGCCCCCTTATTTATCCCACGGGCCCCAATCCGTAAAACAACTGATGTCGAACTAACAAAACAACTACTTGATAGGACACTTCAAGAGCCTTTAAAAAAATTCCAGGTGACAAAAAGGAATAATCACAGGGATGAAGCAACTGTACGCTCCAATCAAGCCCTTCTGGTTCCTACCTTGCCGTCGTCGACTGTTAAGTTTCCTAAAGCAGGTCCCCTCAACAAGACGATTCAGACGCTGCTGCTTAATCAGCTCTAGAATTTCAGGCTGAATCTTCTCCTTCAGCTCCCTGAGGGAAAAATGTAAGCAAACAGACACAGACACGGTCAAATCGAACCTGATTGTCTTTGGAGTCAGAGCATCTCCCGCTGTACGTAGCTTTCTATGTAGGCAGGTTTTGCTGTAGCCATCTAGTTTATTGGAAGGTGCCAGAATTAGAACTCTGCAGGGTTCCCATTGTTTGCAACAGCAACGAGAAAGAGATGCTCTCTGACACTCAGAACTAAGTAATACACTGGAGAATCAGATACAACATTGCATTTGCGCGGGCGTTTTTGTTCCTCACACTCAAATACTAACAAACAGTCCATTCATCCTCAAAGCACTAAACACACAAACACATGAGGCTGCCTTATGCTGAGCTGCACCCTTGTCCGTCAAGGTCAATTATCGTCTGCTCTGACTGGCAGCTGCTCTCCAGGGTCTCAGGCAACTGTCTTTCACATCGCCAGCTACCTGGTCTTATCACTGGAAATGGTAGGAATTAAGAACATAAGAACATAAGAGATGCCAATGGCCCATCCAGTCCAACACTCTGTATCCCACAGTGGCCAGAAATACCAGTGCCATCAGGAGGTCCACCAGTGGGGCCAGGACATTAGAAGCCATCCCACTGTTGACCCCCCCAAGCACCAAGATGACAGAGCATCACTTGCCCCAGAGTCCCTATCTATACCTTGTGGCTAATAACCACTGATGGACCTCTGCTTTTGGCCTGATCCAACATTGGCATCTCTTATGTTCTTATGTTCTTAATTCCTACCATTTCCAGTGAATTGAACATAGGACCTTCTGATGCTCTCCCACTCAGCCACAGCTCTGGGCGCACCCCTCGTTTTCTCTATACACGAGTATATCATCAACTCAAGCCACGTGTTACTCTTTCAAGGCAAGGGCTTTTTGTGTCTTTAACACACATGCCCATATATGGTCCATTTAACCATTTACAGCTATGGTCACTCAAAGGGCAGTATCGGTGAAAGACAGGGTACGCCTGAACAACCATTGTATCATGATCTACAAACATGGGAAAGGAAGGAATGACTCTTTTCCTCCGTCCTTTCTAAATGTCATCCTTGTTTTCCAATTAAAAAAAATTAACTGGGATATCGTTTAAATACTGATTAAACAAAATAAATATTGATGTATCCAAGAGCCACAGTGGCAACAACAGTATCAACAAACCTTTGACTCCTATGCATAGAAGTGGGCCAGCAAGCACTGATCATAGGTCTCAGATCAAACCTATTTTATGATTAAACTGCAAAAAGCAAGCCTTGAAAAAGTCCATCCAGAATTCATATCAGACATCCTCAAAAACTACATCATCCTCACCCCAGGATCTTAAAAAATTGGTTTGGTATGAATCCCTCAGGCAGAAAATGCACTTAAAGTTGATTTCACATGCTGTCACCAGGATCCATCGGGTGGCTCAACCATCAGTTTTCAGCTGTGCTCAGATTTGTTAAGAATACAGGAGGACTAAATTTGAAAATAAAATTGGCCGCAAGTTGAGAACCATTGCTTTGCAATGGGCAAAATCTAGCAGCTTCACAGTCTGCATGCAAAGAGGCTTCTGCTTCACCCCTTATAAGTGGGCTGGGATCTGCCATGGACAACTGGTCACTACGTCACTCCAGTTAATACGGGTCTTTTAAACATGTCTGGCAATCTACCTCCACACTCCGATAGCACAAATTGGTGTGAAAGGAACACTGGATATCTGTTAGCATATGCAAACCAGAAGCCATTTAGGCGTTAAGGCATTGGGGACAGCAGAGAAGTATAATCTGTTTTTAGAGAGTCAGTCTGCCTGCTTTTCTGCTCCGGGCTTCATTTAGCCTGGTTCAATGCGGGTGACGTTTTGTTTTCAACCAGGGACTGGGCAGGAGAGAAAAATTCAGGGAGGAAGAAAAGGACACGCACACAAAGGGTGAAAATGTCAAAGCACTGTTTGCTGCAAATAAACTAGTTTGAGCTCTACAGGGAGCAGCGGAACAGACTTTAGGTGAACACAAAAGAAGCATTTCTTTATTCCTGAAGAAGAGAATGAATACATTCCAAGCAGACGCAACCACCCTGCTTTTTTTGAACACTGTCCCTGCGTCTTTGTGTTCCCTGGGGTTTTTCCTAAGGAGTTCACAAATGTCATCCACATTTGTTAGATCTTCAAAGAGGAGGAGGAAAGGAAGGAAGGGAGGGAGGAAGAAGACATTGAGGGGATACCTACAAAATTGGACGAGACTGGAAGTCTTCCTGGTTCATCCTCTCGGACTGACGGATTTTCAGAATCTCTGCGTAGCTTAGGTTTTGAAGTTTACTTTTGAACTGGTCCAGAGAACTAGGCTTTGTGGTCAGTGCTCTCATTATTTGCTCTTTCACCACTTGCATTACCTGTGGAGAAAAAGAAAAATAGACATCAGTTCTGGAGGAGTAGCCGTCTCCTTGGGCACTCGAAGCACAACTTCATTACAGAAACAGCTCATGACTCAGTAGTGTTGACGCGTTCTGACACCAATATCGCTTTATAAATGAAGCCAGTCACATTTGTACCATCCCATACTTGGGAGCGACCAGTAAAGATGTTCCTTTCTGAGCAATAAATAACGCAGTTTGTTCTCTTTTGTTGCAGAACATCCAGGTACATTACCTTCAGGTGGCTGCAAATATTTATTGCACTACCCCAGCTACCCAACTGCAATGCTATCTCCTTCCGGGAAGGGCTCTTTTTGTAGAAAAAGCCCAGCAGGAACTCATTAGCATAATAGGCCACACACAACAGCAGGGACTCATCAGCATATTGGGCCACACCCCTGACAGCACAGCTCATTAGCACATTAGGCCACACCCACATGGTACCAGAAGTGTGGTTATCCAGCCACACCCACCTTTTGCTTCTTATTCTGTTTACCTTGTTTGTTGTCAAAACCCAGGGCCTTTTTTTGTAGCAGGAACTCCTTTGCATGTTAGGCCACACACCCCTAATGTAGTCAATCCTAATGAGTTCCCGCTGTTGGGTGTGGCCTATTATGCTAATGAGTTCCTGCTGGGTGTGGCCAACTCGGGAGCCAGCCGGAACTCCGTTCCTATGCGTGCCTGCCCAAAAATAGCCCTGTAACCTTCCCCCATATTGCATAACCATTAACAGCAGCCTTGTGATGTGGACTCTGGTTGTGCTACTGTCAGTTGAACGCAGGTGAGGGACACACCTCCCCTGTCCTCAGCCCAGCAGGCACCAATTTCTTTTCAACAGGGAATCCAGTTGAGGAGATCCTCCATATGTTTGCTTGAAACTGTAGTTGGAATTTGCGGCAAAAACAAGCCAGTTTCACTTTCCCTGGTTCTGCCAGCAAAAGCAAAATGGATTAGATTTCCTTCATACATCAACTCCTTTTAAAAGGAGTTACCTCCTAAAGCAAAACTGTCTTCTTTGAAACAAGACATCTTCCCTTGCCTATCGAAATCACAGAAGGACTAAGGACTGGACACAGCACCATGGAGGGTGTGAAGAGACCAGCTCAGCCACAGAACTGCAACCCTGAAGGACTAAGTGAAGGGTAGAGGGGGAGGCCTGACCTTGTAAGTTGTTACAGGAATAGCTGCTTCATCTCACTAGGATCCCAATGGCTAAACTATCTTGATCAACAGCTGGACTGGATAAAGGGCCCAGCAGGATAAAGGAGGGAGGAGAAATAGCTTGAGAGGCGCGCGTCATTTTAGGGAGGACACTGTCCTGGTCAGGGGTCATTTCATTGAAAAAGAGGTGCAGGAGCTCATTAGCATAACTTATTAGCATAACTTATTCGCATATGCCACACCCCCTGGTATCACCGGAAGTGTGTCAGAAGGCAACACCCTCCGCTCAGGCTCCACTGGACTGTTTTGGATTGCTAGCTATTGGGAGGTGGGGGGGAACATGCAGATCTGTCCTCACAGAGGAGGGAGAGCTTGTACCTGAAGGCGGGCCGGGGGGGGGGGCTCTGCAACTTACCTCGCTGCTTCTTGTTCCTCATGACCTGACTGAGGGCTGCTGGGAGCAGGGGGCGGGGCTTGTTGCATGTGCCCACCCCCTGAGCTCCTTACTGCCGGAGCTCCGCTCCTGTGCACTCCTGCAGGAAATGACCCCTGGTCCTGGTCCTCCCTTTGGGCTAAGACATTTTAACAGTGAGTGCTAGCTGATTTTAATTCTCTGTTGTATTTTGATAAGCTGTAGAGTTTTTGCCATGCTTTCTTGGAGTGATACTCTTTTGTTTTGATAATAAACCTTGCCTTGTTTATTGGGGGGGGGGGGAAGTAGGATTAAGGCTTAAGGTCCTCCTCTTGAAGCTGTCTATGCCTGTAGCCACCACCCCTTCCTACGACAGTGAATTCCACATTCTAATTACTCTTTTGGTTAAGAAGTACTTCCTTTTACCTGTTCAAAGCCTACTGCTCATTAATTTCTACCTTCCCTAGAGAAAGAAGTACTTTTCTCCCTTTCTCACAATACAAGAACTCATTCCATCAAATGCTGCCACAGAAGCTGCAACACCACCATGCCCTCTGGCATCGCCTATTCCTGCTCAGTAGGAGGGAAGTGGTCGTGCTACTGGAAAGACTGGCAGCAGGCAGCGTGGGGAGGTCAAGATAGTAGAAATTGAGAGCACTTCTAATGAAAAAAATATTCGTACAATATTTTTGTAGAAAAAGACCAGCAGGAACACATTAGCATAATAGGCCACACCCAACAGCAGGAACACATTAGCATATTGGGCCACACCCCTGACAGCACAGCTAATTAGCACATTAGGCCACACACCCCTGTTACCAGAAGTGTGGTCATCCAGCCACACCCACCTTTTGCTTGTTATTCTATTTACCTTGTTTGTTGTCAAAATCCAGGGCTTTTTTGTAGCAGGAACTCCTTTGCATGTTAGGCCACACACCCCTAATGTAGCCAATCCTAATGAGTTCCTGCTGTTGGGTGTGGCCTATTATGCTAATGAGTTCCTGCTGGGTGTGGCCAACTTGGGAGCCAGCCGGAACTCCGTTCCTGTGCGTTCCTGCCCAAAAATAGCCCTGTGTAAGGCAATCAACATTACGCTTAAAAAAAATTAGCAGATCGCTCAAGAGGACAACCTGAGGAGGACATGGGGGTGGGGTGAACATGTGACCCTAACAACACAAAAGGAATTCCTCACTGGAAAAAGCCAGGAATTCCTCACTGGAAAACTGCAAGTTCAGATCCAAAGGGGGGGGGGAAATCACAGAAAAAGTGGATTCAGAAAACGTGGAGTAACAGGTGGTAAATTCAATGCCCATGCAGAGGTTTGCACTTGTGTGGAAATGGTCAGCGACAGAGACAGCATGCAAAGCTCTGAATTACCAAATAAAGCATTAAACTGTTTAAGAGAGACTGGGTTTCATTATTCCCTTGCCTTCTTCTGATTGACCAAAAATTGTCATTTTATACGCCGGAGTTAATTCTCCTCTAGGAGCTCTTTCCTTTTGTGGCCCGGAGCTCAACGTAAGTAAGGATACATGCACAGACATCTACTTGTTAACTGTTGTATATTTATAAGGGAACAGACCTCTAAGACAAGAGCAAAACCGAGAGAGGATCTGAAGCAGAACCATAAACATTTCAAACAAGAGAACTGGAATGAGATACAGCAAAGCAAGTGCCGTAAATCTGCATATTAATTATATAACCGGGAGAAAACTCCAGAGATGGCAGTTAATTAACATGGGGGAAGGGAAGGAAATGCGAGATTTGGGCACTGTGCCAAAACAACAGTATATCACATTCTATTGCACCGCTCTGGGTCCTGATGAAATTATATACTTCAAAGTAGCTATCTGCTTATAACTCCTAACTGTCCTATTAGTTAAGGAAGTGTTTAAAATATATCCCCCTCACAGATTTATCACACACAAAAGGGGGCGGGCGGGGAATAAAGCAGTACCAAGACTCAAAACCAAAAAGTGGAGGAAGCTGAGAACAGGCAAGCCAGATGAGCACGACTGCCTACTGCAACTCATTCTAGTGGGGGCAGCTTAGGAAGAAGCACCATGTTATGAAGCGCGAAAAAGCCATTCTGCCCAGAGAACAGTTTCAAACTACCCTAAGGTGATTAAAGACCAGACTACATGATACTTTTTTTGTAAGTTGGGTCTGAGTTTCCCTGGACCTGACTCGCTTTCCCCATAGCATAAGAACATATAAGAGCATAAGAGAAGCCAATGCTGGATCAGGCCAATGACCCATCTAGTCCAACACTGTCACACAGTGGCCAAAAATACCAGGTGCCATCAGGAGGTCCAGCAGTGGGGCCATCTCCCTTATAAATAAAAGCCGAATGGTGGTGGCACTTCTCTAGAACATTCCACACGCTCCAAAATCAGTTCGCTCCCTGATCTGTCATTCAGAGGGTCTCCCTATCCACGGGCTGCTTTGCCTGAGTCCTGCCTCCAACATTCTGAACATTTTGCTGTTCCTCTCCTCCCCATAGCCAGTCAGAACACAGATGTTCTTTGCATATGCAGCCTCATTGGCCTTTGCCTCGGAACACAGAGGTCGTTTGCATATGCGACTTGATTGGCTTTTGCCTCTAATATTCTAAACAGTTTGCTCTTCTGAGGTAAAATGTGTCCAATCTCCAGGTGAGGGCTGGAGATCACTCAGAATTACAACTGCTTTCCAGACGGCAGAGATCAGTTCCCCTGGAGAAAATGGTGGTCTCTGTATGCTGCTGAGGTGGCCCCCATATGACAGCCAATGTGACGTAGCACTCAGGGCTTCAGAGCACGGGAGAGGCTGCAGGTGTGTGGGGGGGTGGAAAGCTGAAGAGTGAGGGGAAATAAAGGTAGGCTGATGATTGGCTGGGAAGGAGATAGGGTTGCTAACTCCAGGTGGGAAATTCCTGGAGATGTGAGGGATGGAGCCTGGAGAGGGTGAGGTTTCAGGAGGTGTGGGACCTCAGACAGGTACAAAGCCATAGACTCCACCCTCCAAACCAACCATTCCCTTCTGGGTAACCATCGTTGTCAATCTCCAGGTGAGGGCTGGAGATCACTCAAAATTACAACTGTTCTTTAGGTAGCAGAGATCAGTTCCTCTGGAGAAAATGGTGGACTCAGTGTCATTATACCCTGCTGAGGTCGCCACAGCAAATTGACACTGAGTGTCCAAGGCCGGGGCACCCACCCAGAGCCTTTTTCTAGAGGTCGTTGTATTTATTTCCGCAACGAGCCTTTTTCCTAGTAAAGCCATAAAGAAGTTGCCGGGAATGTCATTTTCAAAGCCTGTAGGATCCTGATTCGGCTCAGAACTGTAGCATGGGGGAGGGAGCCGGCTCTTCCTTCCTTCCTGCACTTCAAGATGAAACAGCCCCAGCAGGGAGTTATTTGTA